CCATCTTCTTTTAATACTTCCTGGATCTTTTAACATTCTGCCGAAAGCATCCTTGATTATAGCAACTCGAGGTTTGAATTTGTTCTTCAGTTCCTTGAGCTAAAGAAATGCTGCGCGAGTTTGTCCCTTTTGATTTTCTGACTCCAACTCCTTGCACATTTCATTGTATTCTTTTGCTTTGTCATCCCGTGCTGCTTTTTAAAATCTTTTATTAAATTCTTCCATATCTTGAATTCTTCCTTGTGCTTTGGCTTCTCTGCGCTCCAGTGCAATTTTCAGTCTCTTCTGACATCCATTTTGGTCTTCTCTTCCTCTTCTGTCTTTGTGACCATTTGCACTCTTCCTGCATGATACCCTTGGTATTAAAATACCTTTGATATCCTTGATATTAAAAGTTAATAGGAATGTTACATTTGGGTTTTGTTGGGTTTGGCGGTTTTTTGTGTTGTGGTGTTCCCCCCCCCCAAAAAAAAAAAACGTAATAGGAATGTGCTAGTAAAAAGATTGTTGGAGATCCTGGAGAAAGAAGAGCACACTGTATGTCTGCTCCCCACCCAGTACAGTCATGGATGTCTCTTCCCCTTTGACATAGAGAAGGGTGAGGTAGATGCAGACTTTATAGGTAAGGTTGGACTAAAAGTGTAGCTTAGCCTTTGTCTTGGCTGTGAACAGGCCCAATATATGTATACCTCACTGGATTTCTAGCATCACTCAGTCCTCATTTGATGTCCCGTGGATGCTGCTTCTGGTGACAGCAGAACTCTGAAACCTAGATGCACAATACAAAATAGTACAACCCAGTACATCTCAGTAAAATCATTCACCGACTTCTAACTTGCTATTGGTGGTTAGAGTAATTAGTACCATTTCTATTAAGAGAAATTGAGCTCATCAAGATCCTTAAAATAATTTGTACCATTTTACTTAGCATTCTACTTCCAGAAACATTGTGATAAGTAGAGAAAATATTGAAATTGTCAACAGTTTCCTCTTGTTTGTATCCATAGTCCACACCCTTGGTACCAGCAGATCAGGAGACGTACTGCACTGGGAAAGTCAGCAGTCAGGGACTTCTCCAAATTACTGAGGAGCAATAATGTTCAGTTTGAATAATAAAGTACACCTGATTCAGGCCATGGTCTCTTCAGTCACTTGCTGTGCATCTGAGAGCAAGGCAGTGAATCAGGATGACAGTAGAAGAATTGATGCTTTTGAGCTGTGGTGTTGGAGAAGAGTACTGAATATCTCATGGTCTGCCAAAAGAAGAAGCAGTTCAAGTCTTGGAGAAGGTGCAGCCAGAGTGCTCCTTGGAGGCAAAGATAATAAAGCTGTGTCTCACATACTTTGGGCATGTTGCTGGGAGAGGCTATACCTTAGAGAAGGACATCTTACTTTGAAAGGCAGAGGGTCAGCAAAAGAGAAAAAGACTCTCCACCAGGTAGATTGACACATTGTCTGCAGCAGTGGGCTCAAGTGTATCAGAGATTGTGAGGCTGGATGGCAGAGGATAAGGAGAAGTTTCAGGTCTGTTGTTAATAGGGTCGTTAGGAGTTATACTCAACTCGACAGCTCTTAACAACAATTTCTAGAAATGTGCCTAAGGAAGTAATAAAGAGAGGTACACACAGATCTATATGTGAAAATATTGTTCATAGGGTCACTATGAGTTGTGCTCGACTTGAAGGCAATCAACATCAACAACAACAATTCAGTCTAGGGTGAGTCCTAAATAAGAGAAATTTGATACCACTTAAATGTCGCAATAGTAGAAGGAGGGTTAAATTAAATAGTAAGGGAAGTGTCAAATAAAAATTTTATTGCTATTAAAATAATTTTGTCAAATAATAATAGCATAGAAAATATGTATAGTATTAAATCCCTGTGCAGAGGCTGGTTTCTGTGTGTCCAAACTAATTAGTGAGTTCTGATTAGAACTGGAAGCAGGAGTGGCGTCCACTTCCGAAATGGCTTGCCTCCGGAAACTCTATGTACGAACAGTGCTCAGGCCGTTCGTTCATAGGGTCGCTATGAGTCGTCTACGACTCTACGGCATCAAACAACAACAACAACAATAATTAGAACTGAAGTGCATAACTAACCTTTTGCATTCTTTGCTGGTTCTCATTCTTTACAATTTTTCCAGGGGGAGCCGGCTCATTTTGAGTATCTCATGTACCCTGTACACTGTGCATCCATCACCGGCCTAGCTACCTGCATCCGCAAACCTCTCATCGCCACCTGTTCTCTGGATAGATCCATTCGCATCTGGAATTATGAAACAAAGTAAGAAAGAAAAAAACTTTTGCTCCTGTGGTATGCAGGATTTCAGTTGTTAAATATCATTAATGTGAATTATTTTAATTAAAATTTTAATTAGATGTTTTCATTTTTAATTACTCAGAATCTTTCAGTTGGAAAAATAAATGTTTGTTTTTCTAATCAAGTCAGCCAACCCACCTGTTTCTCACTCTTGCATAACCTGAAAAATTACTTTGTGGTTTAATGTTTGCAACATTCTAGACACTAACATAGACTCTGAGGACATAAAAATTACCTGATTGCCAGAATCTCACCTTCTTACATAACATTCTGTGTCCTTCTGGGTCTTCTTAGTTCCTGACTTCCACTGGGTCTTTTTACCCCATGTTGTTGATTGCCTTTGAGTTAAGCCTGACTCATAGCGACCCTATTAACAAAAGGCTTGAATCCCCTCTAAAACAATCCACATTTATCAACGTTCATAGTTTCCAGAGGCACGTTATTTAGGAAGTGGATGCCACTCCTTCTTCCACTTCCTGCTTTTTGTTTCATAGACCTCTCCAAATGATCATTCCTTCTCTTTCCCTTCATAATCAGCTCCCAACCACCCTTAATTCGCTTGTGATTTTATCTTCCTATTTTGCCTTCCCCGAGAATCTGCAGTCCTAGATTGGTCCCACACTATTGGTTTGTTTTTTTCCTCTTATATGCACCACCTGATGGAAGAAGTTGTACTTCTGACTTCTTAAATCTAAACAGAGCTGTGTTTTTCAATATCACTAGTCAATCTTTTGGCCAATTCATCCCCCTTATTTACCAGGCTCAGTGGTGCACATTATATTCAAGTAACCAACATGTGGGAAGGAGAGATGATAAATCAGTGATTGCAAGCAATAAAGTTCTCAAAAGTTATGTTAAAACATAGAAGAGATACAGTGGAAGGCTTGAGGAGATAATAGGCTAGGCTTATAACTACTTATTTTGTCTTTTCCCTAGCACTCTGGAACTATATAAGGAATACCAAGAAGAAGCATATACAGTCAGCCTTCACCCATCTGGACACTACATTGTAGTAGGGTTTGCTGATAAACTATGCCTTATGAATCTTCTCGTTGATGACATATGTTCTTTCAAAGAATATTCTATCAGAGGATGTAGAGAGGTAAAAACTGCTGGGGATAACAAGCTCTGAAGAGTGAGATCAACATATGTCTTTCAGAACTTCAGCAATTGCTGTGAATTCTAATTCATGGTGACCCTTCATGTATCAGAGTAGAACTGTACTCCACAGGATTTTTTCACTGGCTAATGTTTCAAAAGTCAATTGCTAGGCCTTTCTTTCAAAGCACCTCTAAATGGACTCAACCTCCAGCCTTTCAGCTAACAGATGAAAGTATATTATACATAAATTTAGTGGCTTAGAAAAAGAAAACCACTTCTCCCACAAATTTATTGAGTATATGATTCTAGCTCCCTTTTTCTTATGCTCAAAAGAATATTACACTGAGCCCCAAACCTTGTGATGTCCACTTGTGCTAAGCCCTCTCTGTAACTGTGGAGTTTTGAGAAATATTGGAAAAGGAAAGTGGTGTAACACTCAGGGTCACAACTGGGAAGGCAAGATTGGAGATTGGGAGGAGTCATGGAAAAGTAAGAGACAACTAGCCACCCATCACATTTTCCCCCGAGATGACTTGCAGAAAAAAGACAGTGGTTTTGAGAATCATTTCCCCATTTAGAAGCAGCACTGTTAAGAGACCAACATGATGCTCTACTTAATGGTAACCCAAGCACTTGAATGATTAATGCAAGTGGCAGTGCCAATCTCTTGACTAGTATGAACTATAGAAAAACTGAAAATGTCACCCAGTTCTTAATCCTATTTTCCCCTTCACCAGTTCTCCCCTACACATATCATTTTAGCCTGAACTGTTTGGAGAATGTAGCTCTTGACTATAACCACCATTACATTGTTTAACTCTTTTAAAGCTCTTTCTCTCACTGTATTTTCCTGCAGTGCTCCTTTAGCAATGGAGGTCACCTGTTTGCTGCGGTCTTTGGAAATGTGATTTATATTTATACCACCACAAGCCTGGAGAACATCTCAAACCTGAAAGGACACACAGGGAAGGCAAGTATAGAAATGGTGTGCAGAGAAATACAGCACAAGGAACACCGAGCCCAATATTGTACTTTGGGCTACAAATGAAGAAAAAGGAAATTAGTCCTCTCTTCATGGAGTTCACTATATACTGGGGTAAGATGCATTGAAACACATGAGCAGATAAATTTAATTACTAACTACATCCAACTCAAAGGAAAAATATGAGTTATTATCAGGCAAAATAACAAAAGGATTGACATCATTTAGATCAGACACTTCATCCTAAAATGGGTTGATATTAACCAGGCAGAGGAGGTGGGATAATCATAGCAGGTAGGGATCCAAAGACTCTGAGAATGGGAGGGTACCTATAGAATTCAGAGAACTGAAAAGTCTGCCTGCTGTAGTATCGGCATCATGATAGAATGAGGTAAACTTGCCGTGGGCTGCTCCAGTCGGGAGGAGCTTATAAGCCTGAGGTCTAGGGTCTCGAAGAGGGAACACAAAGGTGGGTAGAAGTTCGGCGAAGGGACGATGAAAGAACACGAGACAAACAGTCAAGTGATCTTGATGATTTTAATTCTGAGTCACTCTAATTCCCCTTCTTTCTTTCTTTCCTTGCTTTTCCTTTTCCTTTTCCCTTTCCTTTCCTGCTTATTACATTTTACATGATACATTTATATTCGATTTTTACAATTAGAGGCTTAATCAACAGCCAGAAAAACAACAAGAGTAAGAATAAAGTTTACATTATTTTCTTACACACAGATATTTTTTATGGTCATGGTTCCTTGGAGAGCATGAAAGGCTATTCTTAATGATCATGGTTCCTTGGTAATTGGAGAGCCTGGTAGACAATGGCTTCTCGCTTAAACATTTTCTTTTTAAACCTGTTCTTCAACTTGTTTGGTAGCAAAGTTACAAAGTAAAAAAGTTACACTTTAAGCTGACACATGTTACGTTTTTAGCTAAATTTGCAATATTATTTATTTCCATTCAAAAGATAACACTCTTACACTTTCCATTATTCCAGGAGTGATTACTATCTCAATAAGGGGGTTTTGGTTTATAAAAAATAAGTTTTTGGGTCATAATATCGCCTAAATTCATCATTCCAATCTCATGTTTCATGATTTATTTTACCACTTATACCTTTCATAACATCTTCCCTCTGGTCACTTTCAAACCTTTTGAAAA